CAACCATTCCTCTTGCGTTTTATTTTGTTGAATTAAGACTGTCGTTGTTCGCATTTGCATATTTATATTATTCTTCTCTTATTTATTATTATTTTTTTTCTGAATTTTTAACAACGAATAGATAGAAATATTTTCGTAGATAGATGTCGGTTCTCGGTTCGGGATGAAAGGAGGGGTGAATGCTAATTTGTAACACGGCTGTTCACATTATGTTCTTAATTATTAACAGCTCTAAGAACCATGAGGCTTCCAAAGTCTAAAATAATTTGTTTTCGTAGACCGCAAAAATGTGCATGTGCATTTTAAATAATTAAGTAATGCTTTTATTTTTATTATTGGTTATTGTCATCTAAAATTATGAGAATAAAGCAATTTTTATGGCATAAAATTTTAACAAGATAATATATTGTTAATGCTTTTCTAACAATAACCTTTCAGAGGATGGAAGGTGTGGCATAAATAGATGATTAAATTGAAATAAAAAAATATTGATTATCTAAGATGACAGAATAGTTTAATGCATCACCATGTCATTAAAATTAGCAAACAACTGCTCGTGTAAGGAATATATTGTTTTCTGTGTTAACTGGAATGTAAGGCAAATTTTTTTCGTATATCACGTTTAACCGGTTAATTTCAGTATATTAATACTAATTTATATTTTTTAAATGAATTTTTATTTCCGTTATAAATGCCTATATATTGTCTTATGCTTAATAATATATTCTTTTCTGTGCTAACTTGAATTTAATACAAATTTATTTTCGTATATCACGTTTAACCCCTTTAGTTTTACATCTACATGCATATTATCTGCGAATTTTTACTACCATATGCTTAATATATTGTTTTATCTGCTAACTTGAATTTACATGCACTAAAAATCACGTTTACGGCTCGGCTCATCGTCGATGAACCGCGAGCTTGGCAAGTAAGAATGCAATGACGCCAACGGGTTCTTTCCCGAAGCGCCAACGGGTTCTCTGCGGATGAAAACCCTTAGGTTTTTGTAACGTAGTTTACGTGAGATGAGATCTCTTGGGGTCATGTGATACAAACTGGCGAATCAGGATGTTGAACAATGAAAGCATAGTAAATTCTTAAATTAATGTCTTTTTACAAATTTACTGTCTTTTATTTATTGGCATTTTACAAAATTTTAAACCATATTAAAATGTTTATGCCTTCAGAATAAAAAATTCATAGAGGTAACATTCATTAACATTTTTTATAGGTATACTGTATGTTGTCGCCAACAAAGTCTGCTTGGCAGGATTTGCGCCGGCGAAACGGAAAAGTACCAAATCAGATAGCTCTCACATTTCCCCCCTCCCAATTAAAACAGAGATTATGTTTGGTCACGTTGGAAATTTTTACTAAGTAATCACATACTCTGCACAAATAACTTCTAACTTGTAAATAAAATTTCTTCTTATTTTTATCTAGAAGCTCCTTTACTGCATTGTTAACTGTAATATGTCAAATATTTTTGTACAAACTGCATTTAAAACTCATGGAATGCGCTTTTAGATGCAGTACAAGGTCCGAATGTCCAATATCCAGAGTGATCTAAAATACGTACCACCAGACTACCAGCATATTCTCTTTTTTTTTTTGGAACTTTCTTTTTACATGCTTTACCCATGTGAATTTGATATTTTTTCATAATAAAACATGTGGTTCCTAATTCTTAATTTGGTTTAGGAAATAAATAAAATACCTCCATACTGAAGAAATAATAATTAGCAAAATTCAGTATGATCAATAATTTGGCTCTTTTGCCACTTTTTTGCTTAACATGCATCTCAAACAGAAACATTATACATTGAAGTATTGTCGACTTCATTGAATAATTTATATCCCTAGAGCCAACCTGCCAAATCATTGTTTATTATTTTCATTATTCATCACAATAACTATTAATACACAGCAGCTTAAGAAAAGACTCAGGCAGCAGTTCTAAACATACTTCTTTTAAATATTAGTAACTGAATACCAAAGAACATGGTAACCTTTAATGTTGACCTTGGTGTTTAATGACCCTTGCAGATGATCACAGACTTCAGCTGACTGCACTGCAAAGTACATCTGTGTTGATGAAGAGAAATTTAACAGAAATTTCTTTCCATACGTAAAAAATAAATTTTTTCAAATAATATTCATAGGCCAAAATATTACATTCAGTGCTGTTATAATTGCAAATCAAAATATTACATTTAGTGCTATTATAATTGAAAATAACTGATCTGTTGTTCAGATAAGCCTCGACACCAGAGCTAGTGCAGCTACACAGGGTAGCAAAAGTTTCAGAATTTAAAGAAGCACTCAGCAACAAAACAAGGGATAGCAAAATCTTTAGAATTTAGAAAAGGCAATGGGATGTATAATTTCTAGAATTTAGGGAGGTACTTAGCACCAGAATTTCGGACACGCAGAGACTACAACTGGTTGCAAAATGCCTAACAACAGCCTTAAGTACCTGTGGGAATTTATTTGTTCGGGATTCAGATAGGCCTTAAGTATATGTGGGAAATAGGCATAATTATAATAAATAACTAAGCTAATACAATTTAAGCTTAACTTCATCAGCAAGTGATAGAGGCAATACAAAATTTGGAGGAACAACATGTTTACAGTCAACAATCCCATGATCAAACGGCAGTAGTCTATAGGACACGTTAGCAAAGCTTTATGGTGATAGTCGAAGATTTTTCGATATTGCAAACAAAAAGTAAAGTTTTTCAATTAATAGAATTTGTGAAAAAAATGCTGAAAAGTGGGAATAAATGAAGATGATACAACAGAAGTATTTAATTGCAATGCCAATGCTGCAATCATCAATCAAATAATGAATGGCAAAATCTATAGTATGGTTCTAAATCCAGAAAACATTGCTACCGATAGTAAATACAGAAACAAAGAGGTTATTGAGAATAAAAAAATTTTGATTGACAATTTAGTGGAAAATCTTGATAATTAATTACAGCATTTGAGCCTTGTAACTGAACAAGAAATTTGTGTCTATATATAGAAGGCATAAAAACAAAGAACTCAAAACAATTCACATTGAAAGATATCTCTACATATAATAAAAGAAAGAGTCTGTCTGTGTGTGTCTTTTGTTCGTGCTGCGCGTAAGCTAATAGACCCACGACTACGAAATTTGGTATATAGGTGCATCTAGACAAGAGCCAGTGCACCTTGAAGCGATTTTTTCGAAATTCAAATTAGAATTTTTTTTATTTTATGTTTTGTGACGAAATCACGTCACTTTGAGACATAATGGGCTATAGGAAAGCGAGATTTTACTCTACACACTCCATTTTCACATCGTCATGAAACGTAGGCACTTAGCTATTTTACGAACTTAAAATAAATCGATTTAAATACGAATTATTTAACAAAGGTTAACACCATTTCAGCGGAATTTTTTTTTTTTTTTAAATGTACAGTTTATTTTTCTTTGATTTTTGGACACATTAAACTTTCATCCTTGCAACTGCTTTTACAAAAAGAATTTTGGAAAAATTATAATATTTTGTATTTTTTAAAAAAATTTTAAATGAAGCTTCCGAACACACTTCTCACATCTTTACAAATGTGATTTTGGCAACAATTTTCCTGTCTTATTGTTGTTGATAGATTTTTGATGAAATCGTATCATTTTGAATAGTTTCATTCTTTTAGAAATATGGGTTTGGCAACAATTTTTCATCATGTTTCTTATGTCACTGTTTTTAAGAGATTGGCATATTTCATTGTCATTTATATCTATATATATATAGAATACATTTTTACTGTTTTTTTTTTTTTTTTTTTTTTCTGATAAAGTTGTTCTGCAGAGTAAAATTCTGCACGGAATTTTATGTTTTGAGTTGCTTTCATGTTATATTTTGCTTATTTCACTGTTTGCAAGATATTGAAAAGTTTTGCATGATTTTTTTTTCTTCAACGGAAAGTTGCCTAATTTTTTTATTAGGATAATTAATATTTGTATTAAGGGATATATACCTTATTTCATTGCAATTTTTTTCTCTTGAAAATGTAAGATAAAATATCATTAATTATACTTTGCTTTTCAGAATTTTTTGTTTTTTGTATTCTTTTATGTTATTTATTGCTCATTTCACTGTTTTTAAGATATTGAAAAGTTTTGATTGTGATTTTTCTAGGAAACAAAGTTCTTAACCTCCTTTATACCATTTGAGTTCTTAAGATTTTGCAAAGGGAAGTTGGTTAATTTATTTATTAGGATAATTAATATTTGTATTAAGGGATACTGCTTATTTCATTGTAATTTTGATATACATAATAACTTATGAAGTTGTTCTGCAGAGTAAAATTCTATGCAGTTTTTAAATTTAACGTTTGGTTAACCCTTCAACCATTTTTCCGGTACATTTAAAAGCCAGATGAAGGCTGGCAGCGAAGCTGCTAGTGCTTAATAAAGCAAACAAATAAAACTGAAGTTTTTTGGGAGGGAATTATGATTCCTTTAGTGTCATAAATGCTTCAGTACTTCAAAAAAATCACAATATCTTTAATTTTATAATTTCTATATATAAGCTCATGCTCTTAATATGTGGGAAAATCCCAAATTTAAAATACCTAAATTCCCGGTGAGACCAGATCTACCAGTAAAATTTCAATGTAATACAACTTCGAGCACTTAATTAGACAAAAAATTAATTATTTCTATTTGATAATTTCAGGAAAATATCATAGCTATGGTATTTAATTATGATCAGTATTTTTAGAATTAATTTTTTTGTTCTAAAAAATTTTTCTTCTTTAAGTATAACATTGCACAAAGATGTGAATAGGGCATACAACATTTTATCACATATTTATAAAAATAAATCCTAACATAAAAGTATATGTTGATCAAACCATCTTAATCTAACTTGAGCATTTTATCACAAAATCTTTTTGGTAATATAATAGATATTCTATATAGTGTATAATAAGATAATGAAAATAAGATGAAAGAAAATGAAAACCTGAGCAGCAATCTTTCCTTTACCCATCTTCAATCCATTTTGAACAACAAGAACTAACTTGTGATCTCCTTGAACTAAATCAGAAAATATCTATAAAAGAAGAAACAATGTACTTTAAATATAAGAAATGGGTATAATTGTTTTTGAGTTTATAGGATAAAGGGGGGAATATACATTAGAGATGATAATAACAGTAATGGATCATAAAAGAAAAGTAAATAATCAGTATGTTAAAAAAAATCAGGATTGAAAACTATCAATTTGAATAAAATGGAATCTTCAAAACCAGAATGAGCATAAAAAAATCTTGTTTATTATTGAACAAAGTGAAAAAAAATTAATTTCTTCCAATAACAAAGTGCTGTATGTTCACTGATTGCATTCTTTATTGTATAACAGATAATCCTGTATGTAAACAAATTATAAATTGAAAAGCATGCATAGATTATAAAATACCTACAGCAATGGATCTATCTTGTCAGCAGCACAAATTTTGAATTTTATCTTAAATTGGAAATATCAGAGAATCATATTGGTAGTTTTGAAAATCACTGAGGGAAAAAACAACCTAATCATACTGTAAGACAAATTATCTATAAATGTGTTATAACATTCAAAGACTAGTTGGAATTCAGATCTAGCACGGCTCTTATTTTAAAAAGAATTATGCTATGAATAGAAGTTTATTTACTGTTATTGCATTCAGCCATGATATTGCATTAAATATGGTTGCTTTGTTGAAGAACATTAGGATTATAAGCTTCAGAGAAAAGCCATCTTCGTGAAGGACTTCCAAAGGAAAAAGAGCTTGTACTTACATCACATACATTAGTAGTAATGTCAATGAAGATAATGGGCAAGATGAGGAAATGGATAAAAGTACATGACTACAGTTGAAAATTAAAGGACACTTATCATGAATGATTAAAAGATTATTTATTTATAGATAACCGTGATGAGATCTCAGCAATTCTTTCTGAAGAAGATATATTGGAGAGCATAAAAAATAGCAGCAGAAACCAATTGATGATATTGAAGAAGATGAAAGTGAACGTATATAAAATCTTTGCCAGAAGATATGCTACATGTGTCTGATATTTTACAACATAATTTTCAGTTTGAAGAAAGTGTACCAGAAGATATTTTCAATGCATTACAAAGATGTGACTTTTTATGATATGATGATAATCAAAACAAACTAAAGTAACTGATTATTATTATTATTTTGCATAAATGTATGTACTTTTCATATTAATACATATGCACATATTTCATTTATGTATTTGGAGTGAATGGATGCTTTAAATTTGCATTTATATTTCATTTTATTATTATTTCGCATTTAAAACTTAAATTTCTCTTCTTAAATCGTGTTTCATAACTTCCATATCGTGAATTCCTCTTTAGGGAAAATTTTGCAGGATTATGCGACTGTTAAATACAGGTTAATTGTAGGATCATAACTTCAAAGAGAAATTGTTAGAGTATAAAACAGCAATTTAATGCAATATCAATCAGCAATTTAATTCTTAAAAGTGCATAGTGTGTTTAATTTACCTGTTGCATGACTATCATTAAATTATAGAATAAACATCTTATAACTCTATTTCTGCCACTTTCTACTGTATCAATACTATTTTTAGATTAAGCAGCTACTATCAGGATGCAGGAATAAAAAAGACATTGACAACATATTACATCCATGACGAACTTCAAATCCCACTTAAAAGCATAGGTATGTACAGTGTAACCTACAATGGCGGAAAAAATGTCTTTGGATCCATTTTGCATCTCATGAACTAATTAAATTATCTAGACTTCCATGTTAATTATGTGGGAAAACTAGAGTAAATTTTTTTATTCAACATTTATAGTAAATCAGCAAACATAATCAATATACCAAAAGGAAACAGACCTCATTAATTTAAATTAAAAATATTAAATAAGGATTATATGATTCATTATAAAATTAAATTCTGACATTTTTCATGAAATTCTTCAATAAATGTTTTCCGCTATCTTTCCGTATACACAGTGATCTGTTTTCACTTAAAAAAAAAATTGGAGAACTGCACAAACACGGTGTTGCTGGTTTTCTACAAAAGCATCTCATCTTTGTTCTTTTTTAACAATTTTGCAGTAAAGATGGATATGTTTTAAATCTGAATTTACAGCAAAAAATATCAAGATTTATCCAGGGCTGGTGCTAAGCGTTTTGCTGCCCATTGAAAACTCAGCAACTTCTAAATTCAGCTGCTTGGGTTCTTCCTAATTCTAAGTTTTGCCACTCGATGAAATTGCATACACTGCACCAGCTCTGCTTCATTCTCCAGTTTCTTTCCAGATAACAGTGCATGGATTAAGACTGAAAATTATTAGTTCTCCATTTTACAAACTATTGCATTATTTTTCTTGCCAGAACTATTACATGTTTTCATGTTTTAAATTTACTCTTAAAAATCCATCAGTAATTACAATAGGATAAAAAAATGAAAACCAGAAGAAAACAATTGGTTTACAGTATGAAAAAAGATTGATGAATACATCACATAAAAGTTTAAAATTTGTGCTCTCTTTCCTGAATACTGCAAAACAAGATAAGAGCAGATAATTAATGCTTATAATAACTACAATATTTTAAAATATCTGAAATTTTTGCTTCAAATATTTCTTTTTAATTGGATTTTTAAACAACATAAATGTTTAGCTGTAGGTCTTGTAAAATCTAGGTGACGCTTTTGAATAATTCTGAATTCTAATATGGTTGCTAGATTTTACAAATAAATGATTTTTAGATTTATGCAATCACTTAGAAAATTCAGACAAACATTTAAAAAAATATTTCAAATAAACATTTAAAAAAATATTTCAGATGAACATTTAAAAAAATATTTCAGATAAACATTTAAATTTTTTTAAATTTTAATTACATGACAAAAAGCCTCTGTTGCTCAAACTAGAAAAATTAATCACACAATCTGCAGTGTACAACAGCCTCTTCAACAAGAAAGTATCTTGAAGTTTCTATGAAAATATACAGTGTTGCATAGATGATACATAGTTACTAACCAGATGCACTTGGGTTTTTTATTTATTTCGTTATCTGCTATTAATGTATCATTTTTTACCTCATTAAATTTTATTTAATTTTTATTATTCATTATTTATTTTTATTCAACTTTTCTGATGACTTTCCATAGAGCTTTAATACTTTTAAATTTTGAACTTAAGCTCTGTTATATGAATGTTCCAATTTTGTTTATAAGATCTTATTATAATAAGATAAGATGAAACAGATATGGAAATATTTCCTCTAACAAAAGTTAGTGGAAATAACTTAATATAATTTATAAAACAGTCCTTTCTAATTATCCACATCTCCACTAAAAGGCACGAATCATTGCAGACTTCGGACAGAAATATTTGCTTGAGTACCCTTATATCTAAGTGCCATCTATTCTTTTACATCCTTCGTTTTCCACAATATGTATAAATAATTCCCTTTTTTTTCACTTTACAGTTCTCCCCATGTGCATAACAACCTGTTTCTTGTTAGCAAAAAATCACTAACTAAGCCCAAACTAAGCATCGTGCAGAACTTCGGCACCAAAATTCTAATATCATCCTTGAACGAGACGTTCGTTGCAAAGGGTGCCTGGACTGGAGTGTCCTATCCCCATCGATTTTATGTCACTTTTCGAACTTTGATTTTTTATGGTGCCTAAAGACATATCTTATTATAAGACAATTATAGTAATCTTTTTTCTAGGCAATAAATAGTCCATGATAAGCAATTAAGTTGAAGATTTGTGCAATAATTCGACTGATGGGATGATATAAGAAATTGAAAGGCAGTGGCCGGAGGATCAGATCGTAGCATCGAAAGTACTAGGCACCATTCGGCGATGAGAGATGTAGCGTCCTTCACTGAAGACATCCAAGCTGGAACTGAGCAGAGAGGAGGCTGAATGACATGGTAAAAAGATGCATATAAGCATCTTAGCATCAAATGTTTAAGCAAACCACTTGTATGCAAAAAGCTAAGTCTAAAATTTTGTCAAAGATTATGAAAACTGCAGTATAAGGTCCAGTTACGCTAAAATACCGAAACTCCCATAGGAGGGACCTCCCATGACACATGCAAAAATGTTCATTTAATTAGAAAGCCATCTGGGGAAATGCTATGTGCGTGCCTGGGTTACTACATAGACTTTTTGGCAATATCATAAGCTGTCACATTTTTATAACATGGTATGTTGCCTCATCAATACTTTTCAGTGGAAGTACAGATAATGAGAAAGTATAATTACTACTAAACAGCAAAACATTATGGAAAGAACTGATTGCAAATAACTGCATGACAGGAGAGACATTTCAGTGTTTATAAAAATGACCAGAAAACTGAATAGCAGAAACACATCATGAAGTTACTGATCAGTTTATACCAAACATTTCAATAAAAGTTGTCAATTACTGCATATGTGCGTTTACTTGATTGAAACCAGACTGATCAGTTTATACCAAACACACAATTCAATAAAAGTTGTCAATTACTGCATATGTGTGTTTACTTGATTGAAACCAGACTGATCAGTTTATACCAAACACACAATTCAATAAAAGTTGTTAATTACTGCATATGTGTGTTTACTTGATTGAAACCAGACTCCTTTATACATATAAAGCAGTCTGGTTTCAATCAAGAAAATCATTGAAATAGTACTCATGAGAGCTGCTTAGAGAAATCTGAAATAGATGTATTAAATGAGTGATGTATTTTCAGAACAACCAGCTATTAAGTCAAGTTAACAATCTCCAATAAGAACTAGTCCATAAAGAAATATTCAGCTGTAAATTTCTTGTTGCTATTTTCCAATTTGTTGGGGGAGGGAATTGAAAATTTTCTAAAGCAAGCATAGTTGTTAACTCTTAACAGGCTACATCTAAACTGACAATAGGATGCAATCTGTTTTATTTTAACACATTATTTAATTAGATCCAAGTAACTGAAGAATATCTGCTGAGGAAATAAACATGTGACTGGTTGTTCTAAGAAAGCTTCAGTGAATTTACTACATATGAAACACAAAACAAAAATACATATACAATCAAGAACTGAAGCCATAATGAAACATTCAGGTTTGTTTTCAGTCTACTCATTTACTGTCTAGCACATTATCAGGACAGTATTTATCAGGAGAGTATCAAGAATGCAGGTCACTCGTTTGGTTCAGTAAATAATGAGAGGAATTTTAAAATTAAAATAAAATACATATTAATGTAAAAGAGATCAAAATATTTAGAAAGCAGAAATTTGATAACAGTCCCAAACTTAAATCTATCAGCATGGTTCTGATATTTAGTTTTTAATCTGCAATTTACAGCAAAAATCATACCATCTTAATTGCTGTGTCTGAATCATATTTTTCAAGAATTACATCATAAACTAACATACCTGATGAACCTACTTCCTTCTACTTTTATAACAGTTACAAGAATCATAATATTATAGAAACTGATACAGTGATTCAGCTTTCTTTTGGCAACACAGCCACATTTAGATTATAACTTCATTAGCAAACCATTCCAGAACCAGAAATAATTACAATATCCTTATATCTGAAATTTAATTAATCAAATAGTAAATCTATGTAAATAGAATGTAAATAGAAAATTACTTCTTCTTCTAGAGCTCCTTTTGAATACGTCTGGGAAAAATTCGAATTATTTTCATTTTTCAACCAACTTTTAATTATAAAACCTAAGAACACTCCACATCCAAGTGCACAAGTATTTGTAACAATTGTTCTCAGCAGGGAATCTTCAATCATGTCTACGAAAAAAAGGAAACAAACATATAAATATATTTCGACTTCGTCAATGAAAAATGTTACATTGCATTACATCATTTAAAATATTCCTCTTTAACAATTCGGCCATCGCGCCATAGCATTACAACTCACTGAACTTTAACAGTCAAGTCCACAAGCTCCGGAAGTCCGGTGTCAGTAATATTCAAAGCTGTGGTTGGCATCACTAAAATACGAAGACCTTCTTCAAAAATTAAATTTTGTTTTAAAATTGCCTCCTGCAATTCATCTTTCTTAACTTCAGAATCAATATTATACAAGATAATCTTTGGATTTTTCTTTATAGGAACTCTCATTTCAACATCTTCCTTTAATAATATGTTTGTTTTGATCTCTTCTTCTAATTTAACAATACCACTATGCCTCCATTATTAATTTTTCTTACATTCCTGATTCCAATTTTTAATTTTACAGGATCAATTGTTTCCACAATTTTCATTTTAACCTCTTCTGAGGAAATTCCTTTAACTTTTGGAAAAATCAATGCTACATGTTATTTTATCCTTCTTTGGAATTGAACGTTTTTCTATTTTCTGTTCTTTTACTATTTCTGAAAAAGTTTTTTCGGTAGATGTTTTTTGAGTACTTTCCAATTTACCTTTTATATTTTCTATTTCCAGAACTTGTAAGACTATAAAATTAAGCAACGCTTCTTGCGCTTTAAATATTTTCTTCCTTAAAGGAATAGTAACTCTTGAAGCTTCCTCCAAACTCGTCTCTATATCATTAATCAAAAGTCTTGCCTCCTCAATCAGTTCATTTTGAGGCATTATCTCAGTTTGAATGATTTGATCCATTGTCATTCTAATTCAATTGGGACGCTGGGGTTTCCCCAATTGAACTTCGAGCCTGGATTTTGACCTCCCCCCTTGGGAGGAGGAGCCCTCAGACCACGTCAAGGTACCAGACTCCTGGGAAGTTTTATTATTGGCTTAAATCTATAAAAAAACTATTCTAATATTCTAATATTCGCTTTAATAATCAATTTCAATCGCAATAATAGCCAATAACTTTCCCTGAGGGGACAGGGACGTAAGAAAATTATCGTGGTTAAACCAGTCTGAGCGTCATTGTAAGTTTTACCACTGAAATTCTGACTCTCTCCGGCCTTTTATAGTTTTCAACCGGCCGCGTGAGATCTTTATGGTACTTTCTCCTTCTCGAGATTTGGAAGGCAAAAAAAGAGTGTGGAATTACGGTTACAGCTAACATAGTGGTCAATTAGATGTCAATACAAATTACCGAGATCTCCATTAATTCAAAGGATCCACTTGTCCATGTATTCTTACTTTTCCGGCATAGCTTTCTCTTGAAATTTCTCTCGCGCTGCATTGCACGGAAAAATACCCCAATTTTAATTATATTCTACTAAAATTAGCTATCTAAATACAAAATTCGTAACAATATTAATTTATATTTTTTCGCATTCGGCATAGAAGTTTTATTCAAAAATGAGAAAGAGATGAAACACGATAATATTCCAATTATTGATGATTTTATGGAAAAAGATGTATTCCCCTTATTAACCTCTTCGTCGTCTGTAACGCGTCTAGCGCGTTCAAGTGAAACTTCCGCAGGGCGGCCGTAACGCGTCTCAAGCGTTCTTCTACATTTTAAAACTTTTAAACGTTTAAAACGCTTTCTAAATGTTTACTTGTTTGAGTTTTTATTTTTGTTTGTTATAATACCTCCTAGAGTGTAGCACTAATCAGGCATTCTGTTTCTAATTGAATTTGCCCCTGGTTTTATGAATATTCGCGCCATTTTACATAAGATACAAGACAATGAGCGATGGCTGTTAGAAACATTACACATTAAATAAGCAAAAATTCGGGCAAATCAGTGTATTAGACTAGAAAAAAATGTTGCCCGAGCGGCGCTCGGGAAAATCAAAAAAGTGCCATTTCCAATTACCGAACGGCGTTCGGGCAAAACTGGGAAGTGTTTAAAGTCAGGACCTTCTATGAGATCAGCAATAATTACTCTCATGTATCTGCTTTCTATTTTCATTTATTTTTAATATTTGCAAATGCAGAAGGTGGCAAGGAAACAAAATGTGGAAAATGTATTAAATAAATTTAATGCATTTTCCATATTTTGCTTTCAAAAATTTTGCAGCATTTACTAAGATTTAACTTTTAAAAAATCTCTCTTTAAATTAGCATTTACTTTCGTTTCCTAGGAGATAATTAAAATGAATATTAATAATTCAGATATAGATACATATGTGTCCTTTTTCTTCAACCTCTTTCTTATAAAAAATGGCACCCGTATTGATGACAGTCAGGTCATACCTTCGGTCAACTGAATATCACCTAATGACCATATCAGTGGAAGCTGTTGCACAATGTGTGTAACAAAATGAATGCGGATTGCAGATTTATGCGAGAAACAAATAGTTAAATATAATTTTCGAGTATAAATTGAAACTGTTTATCAGTACATGTAATTCTAAATCCTCCCACCATCTTAATCTAATTAGATATTTCACTCTGCAACCTCTGACTGGTAGATCGGCAGGATTTTTTTCTCCAGGGACGTGTTTCAACGTGGAAGGTTTACTGAGTTCTCTGATCTCTTTAACACGGTTCCGCACGAAAACAGACCAGATTTTGTATCTTTTAATCCATGAGAGAACTGTTGTGGAATCACTTCAGTAATATTTGTTAACTCTTTCCCATCCGAGGGCTTTGGTTACTGAATCTGCCAATCTGACCCCATTTACGGCTGCCAAAAATTCCATTCTCGGGATAGTTGGTCCGCTTAAAGGAGCAACTCGAGATTTCTCAGCAAGAAGATGCAGTTTAACACGATCATTATTCTCAATCCTTAGAAATGTAACAGATGCATAACCGTCTTTGCTGCCATCTACAAAAATGCGAAGAGCACAATTAATTTAAATTTCTGAAGTGACTTGAATAAATCTGGGAGTTTCAATGTTACTTAAACATTTTAATTCTTCACGCCATTGTAAGAAATCTTTACGAAGTTCGCCAGTCAACGACTCGTCCCAGCTGACACTTTTCTTTCATGACTTTTGTAACATTATTTTTGGAGAGAGCACAACGGGGGCGTAAAAACTAAAAGGATCGAATACCTTATGAACTGCACATAATATACTTCGTTTTATTGTGTTTACCAAACTAAAGTTATTCAACCATCCCATGTTGATTTTCAGAGTATCCAGTTCTTTATTCCAAAGCAGACCTAATATATATGTGTAACGAACGCTAGCAAACAGCCTCATGTACTGCAGCGCCACCTTATCGGATGCTATTCATAACACTTACGCCCGAACTAGTCAGTTTGAGTTTCGATAGAGGACTATGAACATGAACTGTTTATTTTCAATTTGAGTAATATTTCTTTGTATTACTTCTTGTTACTTTTGTCATGTAACTTTCTTTATGTAGTGCTTGTGTTTAATTAAATTCCTTTTGTTGAATGTTAAAGTTTGTCTGGTTTAAATTTTACCAGTTTTGTTTAACAACTTTACAGCTAGCCGTGGTCACAACGCTACATATGCGTTTTTCCTGATTTCGTCAAACTCACCAGAATGCTTCCGTCCCATTGCGTAAAAACCGCTTTTGGACATAAGTATCTTAGAATCGGAAATAAACTTTTCCATCTGCCGTTTAGTGTCACCACTAGTAACGACATTGTCGACACAGAAACTTTATAACAGTCGTTGTTTAAAAGCAATTTCTATACTGTTTTCAATATACTGAATCTATACTGTTTTCAATATGGTGCTCAATAACTGAGGGCAGAAGAAAAAGACTACATTTTGCACGAAAAACAAGTCTGACATGTCGAAAAGCTCTGTGCATTTTCTCTTCCATGTTTTCCCACCATAAAAATCGTAGGAAACCTCTATCCTCTTTTCGAATACTTATTTCTAGAAAGGCTTTACTAATATCCGCTATGACTCCATATCGCCGTTCTCTGAATCGCAGTAGGACGTCTGAAAAACATTCGATTAAATTAGGACCGTACTGCAAGCATTGGTTCAGAGAAGGATGGTTTGTCAATCTCGCTGAAGCGTCAAACACTGGACGAATAGGTGTGGTACTGCTGCTAGCCTTTAGAAAAGGGCGATAAGGTAGGTTTTAAACATATGAGTTCATTTCAGAAGTGGGTGCATTTTCTATGATACCTTCATCAATCTAACTTAAAAATACATTTTCATATTTTTGATACAAATTCATTGCTAAAAGTTTCAAAATAGTATATTCGAACCTCTTTTTAGCTAAACTAAAATCATCAGCCCAAGGCAAGCAAATTTCTTATCCACCACCATCATCATTATTTACTGTAACGGTTTCTAAAAAATGTTCTTTGGTCTGAAGATCAATCTCATGTTTAGATTTCTTTTCTACATGATCATTGATTTCTATTAAATCCAATCTCCATAGACTTGAAACTTCAGCTTCATTTACAAACATTGATGTCACCGCCATTACTAAGTTTTCATCATAATAGACGGAAGTGAAAAAGTTATTTTCTTGACGTATTTTTATATGGACTGATGTTTCCTTAGCTAATGTTTCCATCAACTTGTCCGCCACAATTAATTCATTTAAAGTTTCAAAATCTTCAATTTTTTAAATTTGTAATAATAATTCCATGCTGCTTTTAACCTTGAGGCAAATTGAATATGTGTTTCATTTCCAAATTGTTTAGCTTTCCTGAAATTTTCTAAACATGTATCTCCTGTCGGTTCAGATTCTCTTAGAACGATTAGCTTTACACGTTCGTACTTGCACATTTCCTCACTTTTAATGTACGTCAACAGATTCGTAGTTTTTTTTTTTTTTTACCAATATATTAAGTAATAATTCTACTTTCATTTCTGTTGGAGTGTTTTTAATTTCAAAAGCTTTTTCTAACGAGATAAAGAAAAGTTCCAAGCCTCTGGGCGTTGCGGTGCGGGAAATGTCAATATGAGAACACATTTTATCACATATTCAAACGATAATGTTCTTTATGAATCGGAATCCTTACATGCACTACTTGTACTTTGAATAAGAGCCAAGAGCAAATTCTAATTGATTCTCTTGCTGCAATCTTAATTTCTCTAATTCCAGAAGTCTATATTCGCACTTAAGC